AAAAAAAAAAAAAAAAAAAAAAACCCAAACCTGTAGCCTTCATCGAGTTGATTCCGACTCATAGTAACCCTTTAGGGTAGGGTAGAACTGCCCCATAAGTTTTCTAAGGCTGTAATCTTTACGGGAGCAGACTGCCACATCTTTCTCCTGTGGAGCGGCTGGTGGGTTTGAACCACCTACCTTTTGGTTCGCAGCTGAGTGCTTTAACCACCACACCACCAGGGCTCCTTACCAATTACTGAGGGGCTGAAAAAGAATCCTTTCTGACCTGCTAAGATGGCTTTATAGTACCTTAAGTGATTTAGCAGATGTGAATATCCGGTTGTAGGATGCAGTGATATAAGGATCACAGAGCTCTGAAAATGTGTTTTTTAAATACTGTGTTTTTGATGAAAGTGTACACAGCAAATAGGTTCTCATTTAACTTTTTTTTTAGATGAAGGTTTATAGAACAAACTAGCTTCTCATATATTGTTTTATGACATTGGTTAACAACCCCACGTGTCAAGAGTCTCCCCTTCTCGACCTTGGGTTTCCTGTTACCAGCTTTCCCGTCCCCTCCTGCCTTCTAGTCCTTGCCCCTGGGCTGGTGTGCCCCTTTAGTCTCATTTTGTTTTATGGGCCTGTCTAATCTTTGGATGAAGGGTGAACCTCAGGAGTGACTTCATTACTGAACTAAAAGTGTGTCCAGGGACCATATCATTTAACAATTTTATACAAAAATATTTCAGTGACATTGGTTACGTTTTTCAATCTGTCAACATTCTCGTTGTTCCGTTTCCATTAATCTAGCTTCCCTGCCCCCTACCCCTTACCGTCTTATCTTTGCTGTGGGGTAAATGTTGAGTCTGGTCTCATATAGATGATTTTTTAAAGCAGCACAGTACTCACGGGTGATATTCTTTATGAGTCACCCTGTTATTAGCTAAAAGGTAACTGCAGGGGATAGTCTCAGTTCAAAGTTTAAAGAATATCAGGGCAATAGTCTCGAGGAATCCTCTAGTCTCAACTGGTCTAGTAAGTCTGAACTTTTTAAGAATTTGAGTTCTTTTCTACATTTCTCTCCCATTCTATCGGAATCCATCAATCTTGTCCCTGATCAGAATGGTTGGTAGTGGGAGCTGCGCACCATCTACTTTTTCTGGTCTCAGAGCAGATCAGGCCTATTGGTTCGTGTAAATAGTCCTGCAGACTACTTTCTTCTCTGAGTCTTTGGTTTCCTTCTTTCTCTTTTATTCTGGATGAGTAGAGACCAATAGTTGTATCTTAGATGGCCACTTACAAGCTTTTAAGACCCCAGACACTACTCACCAGAGTAGGCTGTAGAACATACACCTTATGAATAATACTGATATCGGTAACTGTGCTCTGAAAATGTGTTTTTGCACAAATCTCAACTTTACTTCAGCACTAAAATTCTTAAGTATCGAGTCCTGGCTTGTGCATTAGACTGGCTAATTCTGGCTGTTCTTCCTCTCTTGCTCTAGGAAATGGACTGAATGGATGACTGCAAAAGCGTGACTGGTTAAAACTACTGTGGTGACAGCAGTACAGCTGCCTCCAATGGAAATGGAGCCATGGCTATTTAAACAAAGTTCTTAGAGAACACAGGCACTAGATAATAATAGATAATAGCTATTTATTTCTATTTTAAAGATGATTTTTAAGCTGATGACCCATTTAGGAATTTCTACATTATTATACTTGAAAGAAAATGTTAACTTGCACATATTTGAATGGGTTTCATACCATCTCCCAAATTCATCTACACACGGTGCCTTTATCTTGTTTTGGCTGTATAGGTTCCCACCTGAAATACAAATTTAAAAACAGGTTGTAAAGCAGATGAAAAAAAACACGTTTTTCTGTAAGAAAAAAAAAAAAACCTTTACTATTTGTTTATTAAATTGCACCATTGGGGCATGACCTTACAGCAAGCAGTATCCTGTTTGAGGAGAGCGAAGATTAGAGAAGAAATGCTATACCCCTTATAAACTGAGAACTCCACTCAAAAGTTAAGTCTTCCTGTTAAAAAACCAAATGGCACAAGAGGTTTTGGGCTAAAGTGCTGTCTGTATGCAAATGATGGAAAAATCAGATCTTAATAAAAATAGGTTTTTTACTTTTTTCAACTTGATTTCGAGTCATGAGCCATAGGCAGTAAAAAGTGTGAAGGTGATTTAAGGGCCCATGTCAATTTCCAAAATCAGGTAACTGAAATGCACTTCCTTTCTTTCAAGAAGTCAGGCTTTGATAAACATTTTAAGCTGATGGGGTACCAGAAGGTACTGCATATACCCTGTGGGGCTATTAATAATCATACAGCTTCCATTTCCAGTCATACTCCTCAGCTAATGCCAAAGAAGCTGCACCTGGAGAGGACAGGTGTGTAGGGATAAAAGATGAAAGGGCAGTCAGACTATTTGAAAGTCAACAGTTTGAGGTGATTCCTTTCCCTGGGGGCACAACTAGTATACAAGTGATGACAAAAGCAAATCACTCAGGTAGCGCCAAAATGAAAACGAGAGCTCTAGGTTTAAAGGCAACACAACACTGAACTGTTGCACCTAACTATAGGTGATTGCCTAGGAGTCCATTTATGAATATGACAGTGGATACTCGGTCTGTATCTCACACACACTGCCTTCACTTTAAACCACCAAAGGTGCAGCTCTTGTTATTGTGAACATGCTGCTCCTGGGAAGCATATGAACAAGAGTAATGACAGTGCTAATAAGTCGTATTTCTTGTTACCAAAAGCACTTCTGTTCCTTGAATTTCAATTCACCAGAAAAATGACTCTACATCATTCAGCATACCACAATTGGGCTGGTTTCAATCTGATGTCTGCATTGTTGTTATTAGTTGCCATTGAGTGGATGCCAACTCACAGCGACCTATCTGCATTAAATTACAAATATGAAAAGGAAATACACTGCTGTGCAGTATGAAGGTCACCATTTGGAAATAAATCTTCCAGTAACGCTATTGTTGTGACTGTTTTGGAGTGGATTTTTTTCTTTTCAAGAATTCCTATCCCATGGAAACAAGTGGAATCACAAACATACATACATACGCAAACGTACACAAAACAGTCAGTACCATCAAGTTCTCACTAAGGGGAGGTATTTTCTTCCAAAAGGAGCAATTTAAATACAAGTTGTCAACTCTGAATTAATGGCGAAGAGCTCTAAAACACAAACAATCCCAGACTATACCTTGTAACACATTTAATCTTTCACAGTATCCTTACCTTCTGGTGTTTCACTTAGATTAATGTAGTAGGCCACCATTTTAAAGGCGTTTATGCAGATTTTAGTGTAAAAGTCTCCAGACCAAGTATGATATACTCAGTCCTAAAGCAAAATTGTCACCCCCCCTTTCCCCAAACCAGCCTTATAAAAAGATCCCTCTGTATAAAACAGCCAATGTTCTGATCACAAGCACATCACGGCCATGGTGACTTGGGCGTATCCTGGAAGTTCGTGGATTTTGCACTGGTAACATAATCCTTTGGATGTAATTGAGAGGTGACTGTCTAGTTCAGAGAATGTGTTTTTCATCCTGTTTTTAAAATATTTAAATTAAGTGATGGAAATTCCTTGATTAAAAATAAAAAGCTTTGTCCTCCAAAAGACACTTGACATATCTGAAAGTCAGGTGGTGTATTCAGGTCAAACTATTCCTGCCCTCACCTCTTAGGATCCAGCATTAACTGCTAAGATGCTCAAGGCTGCCTGGTTTTATTTTCCAACAACTCAATCATCTGTGCTGACTGGGAACTACAATAGTGTCCTTTGGCTATTACTGTTTTCAGGACCTGAAGTCAAGCCCAATCAGTAAGACTGATGATATGAAATGACCCCTCCCAAGTCAAGGGCATAAGGTTACCATATGAAGAGAAAAATGAATCCGTGGATTATCTTCAAATCTCATTTTATTACAACCTCCAGTGTGTTCTCCCCAGTACATTGCTTCTAACAGAAAGCACAATTCATGGATTTGAATTTCTATTCTTCTGTGTTTCTTTCCTCTGATGAAGAGTAGAATGGTCAAAAGGCAGGGAAGCAGGAGGAAAAAGGAGCCAGACTAATCCACAATAATAAATTCAGCATTATCAGAACTGTAACAAGGAGAGCTAATGGTACTTAAACAGAAAAGGAGGATACATATTGCTTAAGTAAAATACTTGTATTAATCACATTACCAAAATTATCATTTAATTCCAGTATTTGAGACGAGAGCACTACAGCCAATAATTGAACTCAGCTGAGTAATGAGTTAGGTAGGAAGAGGCACTTTTAATCTGAAGGAAGAAAGAAGTGGAAGACAACAGCAGGAAAAATACAAGTTTTAAAAAAATTCTCTTTTCCTTTAGTGCTAGCCCAGGAATGATCTACATAATACAGTTCTCTTGCTAGAAATCATCAGGAACAACTAAGTTATTCCAGATTCTGTAACAGGGAAGATTATACTTCAACTTCCTTTATTTCCAGGGAAGGAGGCAATAAACTAATCTTAAAATGTCAGAACTTTTGTTCTAAACTGTACATTAACCTATTTCTTCCAATGGTGCAAAGGATACTCACTAAAGTGAGTGATATCACTATAAAATTTTCCACTTAGAAGTGAGAACAGGGTAAGAATCACCTTGAGCCTGCTGCTACTTTTTAACTTATTACAAGGCCTTGCAAATATCCCTGAGAGCAATTCCAACCTGAGCTAACTATGAAGCAGCTGCCCGGCTAGGACTCTGTAAACATAAACATGTGAAGGACCCTGATGGTTTTCATTCACTTAACATGGCAATACATGAGGTTAAACAGTCTTGTGTAAAGAAAAGGAAGACAGAATTGATGGTTTCCAACTCCATGGAGCTTTATATATGAGCTAACTATAAAATACTAAATTTCAAGAAATTAGTATTCTATAGCCAAGGCTACTATTAACTTTACATTCCCCAGGGTAGTGGGGAATGCCGTTAAGTGGTCTTTCACTGGGTGTCACCTACTGCCAGCTTCTGAACAAGCTGTGCCTATGGCTTTGCCTGGGCAATCCTCCTGACTGAGTCAGTGACCTCTTTGAGTGTCCAGAAGCCAAGGGGTACCTAGAGGCTATCATTTGTCCTAGAGGAACCCCGCTCTGGGCCCCACATCCCCACTCCAGGCTCAAGGCACAGGCAGGGGAGGAGGAACAGAAGGGAACAAGTTAGGAGAAAGGGAAGAGGAAAAAGAAAAGTGTCATGGTCTGCCTTCAACTGCCTCACTTTGCACTCAGTGATGGTTCCCATGTCAGACTGCCTAATTCTGTTTAAAAGCAAAAACATTTATCTAACACATTAACCAAGAAAGATCTGTTCCAGGGGTAATTGTTAATTCTCTAACTACAAGGCATCTCATTCAATATCTAGAGAAAACATCTGGTACAATTAGAAGCTGGGAACAGCCCTAAACAAAACCTTCAATCCCATGTTTCTGTAGAATAACATACTCAAGAGAGCTGCCACTGAACCATAGAGTACTTTTGTACAAACTTGATGGTGCTCCTCCCAGATGAAACTCAGGTAGACCCACATTAGGGCACGGTGTGGTAAGTGGAGCACAGGCCACCAAGAGTGCTTGGCAGGGTCACAGAAATAACTGGTAACAATTGGAAAAAGCACTAGACTTGGAGTCAGAAAAATTCAGATCATTACCTTGCCTCTCATGCTAGAAGACTTTGAAAAAGTTACTAAACTATGATTAGGTTTCCTCAACCTGTAAACTAGAAAGGAATATCAATAGCTATCAGAGCTATGGGACCCTGGTGGCGTAGTGGTTAAGAGCTACAGCTGCAAACCAAAAGGTTGGCAGTTCAAATCCACCAGCCACTCCTTGGAAACCCTATGAGGCAGTTCTACCCTGTCCTATAGAGTTGTTATGAGTTGGAATCAACTAGATGACAGCGGGTTTGGTTTGGTTTTAATCAGAGCTATGAAGGTGAAATAAGGTATGTGAGAGAACTAGAACAATCTCTGATATACTGCAAATGTCCAATTAATATTTGATAAAAATATAATTATCCACACAAAAGACTTCTGGGAAAAAGATACTCTAATTTGGAAAAAATATGCACCCTAAACTCAAACCAGTCTCAGCTGAACCTTCTCAGTGATGAATGGATTAACAGGAGGCTATCACTAATGGCAGATCTTATTACTCCAAGGAAAAGAAAACACTTTGCTGGCATCAAGTGTGTTGCTGAGACTAAAAAAGACAATGCTTATAGGTGAATTAGTCTGGTGGCTTTAAGTTGGTTCTATAAATGATCTGATCGCCTACAATGAATATGATCACCACCTCAAATTCTTTGAGAGAGAAGTTTGGAAAAGACATGATAAAGAGGAAGAGAAGGCAACAAAATTCTTATCCATAATACTTTTCATTTCTACAAAACATCTCAAAATCATTGAAGAAATTCTATGCGTAGTATTATCTGTTCACATGACATGCCTTTAAAGAAAAAGGCAAGGAACAGGCATTACTTTTATGTAAGTACAGGAAATTAGCACAAAGGCTGAGGAAATGAATTTCCATAGGAAATTAATGTTAGCTATGTTTCTGGGTTTACTGTTTATGCCCCTCAGGACAAGCCTAGGTAGTGGTTGTGTTTGCCGTAAGAGATGGGTCAGAAATACAGGCAGGAGGAGGTATCAGGGATGCCTTTGGGTGGGGATGTGGGAACCAGACGGTCAACAATTGCATTTCTTTACTAGAAAGCTCTCTAAAGGGCACTGGTGGCCAGGAGAGACCCCCGTTAAGGCACACTGTAGGCACTGGCTGATTTCTGTAGGCCCAGAATATTATCACTTTAGTGCAGAGAGGATACATGATAAACTGGCATTCTTTAATTGTTATTTTTCTCAAGAGACTTTCACTGGCTTTTTGCCAAGTGGTTAGAAATCACTACATTCAATACAGCAGTTAAGAAGAATTCTAGAGGACTTATTAACAAAATTTTTCCTCAACAGTTCAAACAATAAGGAATAAACAGCAAATGAAATTCTTAATTCTGACATCTGAGTTCCATAATCAAGTTGGATTTATTCTAATCTTCCCTTTACCTTAGATTTAGATGCTATATAAATCAGGGGGCCAGAAGAAATAGCCTCCTACTACCAGCCCCCACCAAAAAAGGGGGGAGGGAGCTGAGAAATAATTTTTAAAAATATAACAGCAACCACCAGGAGCTGCTGTAAAAAGCAGTCCTCATTCGGGCTAATCCTGTCCACTGCCAGAGGCAGAGGATAAACAAATTGGAAAGAACGAGGACACTGACATATCCCATTACTAGGGAACTTAGGAAGATCGGCTGACACACTCAGCTACTAACCGAAAAGGCTGGAGGTTCGAGTTCACCCAGAGGCACCTCGGAAGAAAGGCCTAGCAATCCACTTTCAAAAAACTTAGCCACTGAAAACCCTATGAAGCACAACTCTACTCTGACACACATGAGGTCACCATGAGTCGGAGTCGACAGCAACTGGTTTTAAGGAAGATTCTATCTAGAGAAAGCCAATGGAGAAAAATATCTATTTACCATTACCCAGCAAAATACAATCAGCCAGAATACTTTGGGTTAATGTTCAACAGATGGGGAAATAAAGCAGCAAGTATCACCATCAATATCATACTTCTTTATATTCTTTTCTTTTGTGGAGACCACAGTCCCAAATATCCTAAGCTGCAGATGTCCTTTTAGCGGCTCAGAAATGAATCTGGCTTCTATTAGTGCTTAAATGTGCTCAGCAACTGTCAGTGGGTTTGAGGTCCAGGGTTTAAAAGTGTTCAACACTGGAAGGAAAATATTTTATTTTATTTTAAAAGCAAAAAGAAAATAACATACCAGTTTTCTCAACTATTAACCTATATGAACACAAATACAGCAATTAAAATACACACCCATGGGAAAAAAAAAGTTCTTTTCACTAATCCCATTTTTTCCCTCACCTCTAGCTATTAGTGCACCAAAACCCTTAAAAACATCACTCCCAAAATGCGGTACTAAAACTCAGAACATAAAGATACATTGCATCACAGAGCTGTAATAGACACACAAACATACCTTCCGATCTTTTTCTGACCACCTTTTAAATAGTATTGCTTTAGGGAGAAGAAGCCCTGGTGGTACTCAGCTGCTAACCAAAAGGTCCACGGTTCAAACCCACCAGCTGCTTATCGGGAGAAAGATGTGGCAGTCTACTTCCATAAAGATTTACAGCCTTGGAAACCCTATGAGGCAGCTCTACTCTGTCCTAGAGGATTGCTATGAGTCAGAATGGACTCGATGGCAGTGGGTTTTTTTTTTTTTTTTTTAAAGTGGGAAGATTTAATTTTAAAAAATAAAATAATTGTCAAAAAGAAAGCATATTTAAGACATCAACTTTGGGTGATCAGGGAAGGTAAAGTAATTTTATTATAAACTTCAGGACTTAAAAAGTAATTTGTTACATTTACTATGATAAATCTGAGAGGACTTTTTCTACCAAGTGCATGTGCCCTGCATAATGACACTGGGTCCTCAGGCATGAAAGGACACAGCTCTACCCCTCCTTTAGAAAAAGGGTCAGCTGGATGAGAGAAAAGCACGCTGACTCACAACTAGCATACACTGGTTGGGATCATTTTGGTTTATTACTCCGGCATGTGGACTGTGAAGAGTTCAGACTAAGAAGACTCTGTTCTTGAACTCTGAAAGCCAAACTAGAATTTGAGGGTAGTCTTCAGTTTTGAAATGAAAGCCTCTCTTTTCCCACTTTTGATTTTGATGATACTTAGGAGACTTTCTGTATTTAAAAGAATTATGATTCAAATTATGATTCAAATGGTTCTGGAAGCTCAACTCTGGAAATCCTTACTACATGGCAAGAGACCCACAGAGGCGCTGGATGACCAGCAGTAAGACTGAGGCCAGATATGGGGAAAAGCATACTAGCCCAGGGTCATAGACAGTGACCACCCAACAACACAAATGCTGTTGCCTGGCACATAACCATAAGGTAAGTGGGGTGACCACAGACAAAAAGGGCTGGAAGAGATCTCAATAGGTCATTTAGGCCATCCTCCTGCCTCTATATAAGACAAATGTCTCTCTCTGGCCAGGGTTATTCACCCATGGCACTCGTAGGCAGGGGGCCTTAGGTCTCTTTTATTCTATTTTTAAATTTACTTTATTATTTTTTAAAGATTCCTACAGGCAGCATGTTTACAAGGTAGGTCTGAGCAGAAGTACAAAGCAAGCACTTCCACAGGATCTCAGAAGGAACCTGGGGTGAAGAGGAGCAGTGCAGTACCTGAGAGGCAGCTGAGACATAAGGGAGAACACCCTCATGCTACAGGACCAAGAAGGTGGGAAGAGAAGAAGGGCCAAAAAGGAGTGGCTGCAAAATTCAGCCTGTTCATCAGGAAAGATGAAATTCTAAGGGGATGAAGAGCTGACAAGTTACGTAGCTGAAGAGCCCACAGCTAAGCCCTCTTGCCTAGGAATTTCTCTCCCAGATTCTCCTAAATTAACCCTCTCCCTCTAGAGCAGTAGCTCTCAATGGGGATAATTTCGCCCCCCAGGGGACATGTGGCAATGTCTGGAGACATTTTGGTTGTCTTAACTCGGGGGAGGAGTGCTACTGGCATCTAGTAGGTAGAAGCCAGAGATGTTGCTAAATATCCTATAATGCACAGGACAGCCTCTTACAACAAAGAATTGTCAAAAGGTCAATAAATGCCAAGGTTGATAAACCTTGTTCTAGGGGGAGTACTTTACTCATATGATTCTGAATCTAGCATGAGCCCAAACTCTTGGAACTTATGATCAGACAAACGTGAACTCCCTTTACCTCAAGCCCTAAAGTATGGATCAATCCCCTTGCCTTGTTTAGTGGAAGTCCCAATTATCCCAGAGTGTTCCACAAATGTCCAATCAGCTGCCGGCGGGCGGTTCAAATTCCTATCAGTACAACTAAAAACTTAGATCCTTTTTTGTCTTCTTTCTCTTCTGGAAAATCTGCTATTTCTTTCTCAGAGCCAGTGCTACTCCAACTGCCACTGCTAGGATGGCAACAGCAGCAGCTCCTCCAAACAGCAGTATAGACTTGCCCTCAGACAATGGGATCGCCTTTTCTTCTCTAGCCAGGGAGGACTCTTCTGTAAGACTCTCTTTCCTGACACTTCTCTCCCCTTCACTCAGCAGTGTTTTGGTGGGTTCCAGTGCAGGGACCACCTCCTCCTCCAGCTTAACAGCTTCAGCTGTTGCTGCTTTCACCTCTTCTTCATCAAGCTCTACAAACAAAGATGTAGCAGGGCTGGTTTTCTCAACTGCAATCATTTCTGTGTCAGGTTCCCTTGTCTCCAGCTGGGAACTGGCAGTGATATGTGGAAGCAAAGGAGCTGGGGTTTCAGAGAATGCCTCTTGCAGCTCCCTGGTCGGCAGGCCTGCAGAAGCCACAGCAGCCTCTTCCATGCTCTCAGGGATTTCTTCTTTCTCCACGTGCACAATGTCAGAATTCGAAGAGTTGTTCTCACTCTTCTCTCCAGCTCCACTGCTATCTAAGCTTTTGACTTCTTCAGGCTCCATTGCAATCTGCTGCCAGGACTCAGGACCTAAGGACACTGGTAGGCTTTCAGTGTGCCAACTCTGGCTGGCTGACAGCGAGACAGGTAAGCTCTCTGACTGCCAAGAAGTGGTCACAGTTGGAGACTCTGGAGGACTGATTTGTCCGGAGTTGTCACTGGGCAGGATATAAATGTCATTGCTATCTTCTGCAATGATTCCAGGGTATTCCTCCTCCTCTGACTCAAGATTAAAAACAGTGCCCTAGAAAAGAAGGAGGAGAGTCAATATAAAGAATGGTAAATATGTTAAAAATAAACGTAAATCTGGAAAAAAATTTCTTTCCTGAACTGAAGTTCCAGGAATAAATATAAAGGTTAAGCCTACACAGTTTTCTGGATGGAATGCACTGATTTGTACACCAATGCAGAGGAAGGACTTTTAACAAGATTAAAGTCCTCTGACCAGTTTCCTTGAAGCTACAAAATGAGTTAGTTTACCTTCAATTCAATTTATATTTATCCAGTGCAATAATTATCACAAAATAGCAGAGAAAACAGAAGCCAAGAACCTCGCTGTTAAGGGATTCATCACTTAGTAGGATACAAAAACAACAATTTCAAATGCTGTGTCATTATCAAGGTGCTATTCAGAGTTCAGACGGGGAAATGACTTCTTTTGGTGGTGGTTGGAGAGGCGGGCAGGGAGATCACAGATTCATGGAGGAACCAGCATTTAAACTGGACATCTGAAGAATGGGTAAGATTTTGGTAAGTGAAGGCCATGTAGAGGACACAATATGGACAAAGGAATAGAGATACAGAAAAGCAGACTAGCAAGTAGCCCAGTTTTGAGTTGTGGAGTCACCTTGCAAAAGGCACTTTGGCCTTTTTTTTTTTTTGGTTCTTTGAGACGGGCTAACACCCAAGGATAATGAGTGGGGGCTAACCAGTCCAAGAGGGACCACGTGGGGACCTGCTGCTGACTAAGCCTCAAGAGGCATGGTGTAATCTACCATAGCCACGTGGTGAGGCCGATACCAGCCTTGAACCCTGAGGTTCAGATGGAGCTTCTTGGTTGGTAAGAGGGAACATCTGCTCTTGGAAGGGTAGCATGTCCCCTTGGGACATGAAAGCTCTGCACTGGAGCCTCTCCCAGACTTTGCCCTATGTATGCTTTTTTGCATTTCATTTGTATTCTTTTGTTGTTATATTAAAGTTGTTATTGCAGGTATGGTGTTTTTGTGAGCTCTGCGAGTTGTTCCAGTGAATTATAGGACCCAAAGGAATAGTGAGGGCCGGCTGGTATGAAGTAGAGGGAGTCATGTGGACTCCTGAGCTTGTGGCTGATACCCGCTGATCTAGCTCCAGCTGGCTAAGGTCAGAAAGAAGGGCTGCATGGGCAGCGGGGGTGTGAACTGAACAGGGAAAGGAAGCTGAGATTTCCATAGGACTCAGCTGGTGTATGGAGTGGGATTTGTTATCTACCACACATCAGTTTAATTATTGCACAGTGTACATGAAAAGGAGTAGAAAGTTCAGTCAGGATAAGGCTGTGGAGGAACATGAATGACAGGTTCCTCTGCTAGCAGGGCCAGAACAGTCTAGAGTGGAGACACTAGAAATGAGAGGACTCTTGCTTCTTTCTTTAGCAAGAGTCCGAGCAAAAGCAGTAAAGACCTATAGTGTAGGTCTTCATTTCCATGTTTACCAGTTTAGTTTAACAGGTACCACTATGTGCCTGTTGCACGTCAAGTGCTGTGTCAGGCACTAGGATTATAAGGAAGAATGAGACTCATTTTTTGTTCTTACAAAATTTACTATCTAGCTATGAAGACTGACATATGAGTAACTAATTTCAATATGATATTAAACATTAAGATAAGTGTACACACAGGGTGCTACGTGAAACCAGAGGTTAAGACATAATCAGAAAGGCACGAAGAGAACCAAAGGAACATTATGTTATAGAGATCTACAAAAAATTTTACAAAAAGGCTAGATGACACTCAAATGCTACGGAGAGTTTGAATAGGTTATATAAAGCAAACTACTTCCTACGTTTTTTATGATTATGGTTGCTATTCATTTGAATCTGAATAACTTTATTCTTCAGCCAAGACCAAAAACCTACTGTGTGCACCAAGGCTCTAATACACATCAGAAGTTCCTCTATCAGCCTCACAAAAATGACACCAGAAACACAACTAACCAAACAATCATAATGTCAACATTCTATTGCCCCACATTCTACCTTGTTTCAGCCTCCTTAGTAAGAGGTCCTAATAGGCAATGAATATAAGCAGAGAGACAAAACAGTATACAAAAAAAAAACAAATTTTCTAGTCAAAAGTAAGTCCTGCTTTGAATTTTTGCCCCACTACATACTAGCCAGTGAATCTGGATGATTTGCTGATTTTTAAACCTCAATTTTTTCATAAAAATGGGGACAACAGACTTGATAAGACTGTTACAAAATTAAAATTAGACAAAGCATTTATAGTATCTTGCATAGTACCTTGCACACAGAAAGCAATCAATAAATAGTGGCTGCTATTATTATCAGTGGAGCTTCCAGACTAAGATGGACTACGAAGAAAGACCCGGTAGTCTACTTCTGAAAACCAGCCAATGAAAACTCTATGGATCACAACGGTTTGATCTGCAATCGATCACGAGGACAGTGCAGGACTGGGCAGCATTTCGTTGTTGTACGTGGGGTCGCTGATTTGATGGCTGCTAACAACAACAAACATTATTATCATTATTATGTTATTGTTTTCAACGTTATTGTTTTTGGTGGTACAGTGGTGGGACAAAGAACTACTCTAAAATGTCAAATAGGTAGAAAAATATAAAAAGTAAAAACAATTTGAAACAATACCCTTCCCTGGATAGAGAAGGTAATTTACAAACTCTTCCCTTCTCCATTTCTTCTAAGTAGAGGTATCACAAAACTGGCAAGTATAAGCCCTCTTTAAAAATTACAATACTATATACAGTTGGGAAAACTGGAGGGGCCTTGGTTTTGAAGGTGGAAGAGGCTTCTAGGGCTGGGGGATTTTCAGGATGATGGCTCACCCCAGCCCTGGTGAGGTCCGTTTGAATCAAGATCACTGGAAAGGTCCAGAAGAGAAAGTATTTAAGTAACAGAGACAGCGAAGAGAGGAAGGGGCTTTCAGGTTTTTTGGGGTTGTTGGTTCATTTCAGCTAAGTAGGAGAAGAGATGGAGATTCGGACTAGAAGCCGTAATCAGGACTTGAGTGTGTACATTTAACAGGGATTTTCATTAGTTTTAATCTTAATATGGAGGGTTTTAAAATAGTTTTCGATAGAGAAAAAGTTAAAAATATGGTCCATCCAAACTACTTACCTGTTAAAAAAGAAATAAGCAGATTTTTAAGTCTGATGTGAAAGGAAACCCATGATATATTGTACAAAACCTCTACATAAAAAACTACAAAGCATTACTGAGAGAAATTAAAGGTGATCTAAATTAATGCAGGGATATATCATATTCAGGAGCCCCTAGCTAGTACAAACGGTTAATGTGTTCAGCCAGAGGTTCCAGTTCACCCAGAGGTGCCTGAGGAGAAAGACCTAGCAATCTACTTCTGAAAAATCAGCCACTGAAAACTCTATGGAGCACGGTCCTATTCTGACACGCGTGGAGCTGCCATGAGTCAGAGTACACTTGACGGCAACTGGTTTGGATTTTGGTTTATATCATGTTCATGGATTGGAAGACTGAATATTTTAAAGATTTAAATTATCCCCCAAATTATCTATTGGTTAATGCAATCTCCAATAAAAAATCCCACGAAGTTTTTTCTTATTAAAATTGATAACTTGATTCTAAAACTCACATGGAAATAAAAAGGGTCAAGAATAACTAAGCTATTGTTGAAGATCAACAAAGTTAGAAGGCTCATACTACCAGATACCAAGATTTACTACAAAGACAGTGAGGTAAATAGTTCAAGGAAAGACAAATAGAACAATGAAACTGAACAGAAGCCAGAAGCAGATACACACATGACCACTTGACTTACGGCAAAGATGACATAGCAGTACAGTGGGAAAATGAATGGTATGATCCCATTTATGCTAAATATGATCCCATTTATGTTAAATACGCACACACATTGATACACACTTAAGTGCTTATATAAGCATAAAAAAGTTTGGAAAAAAATATACACCAAATCACTATAGAGGTTATTTCTGAGGGGCAAGATTAGAAGGAAAATGTGCATTACCTGAATTTTTTACAATAATCACAGATGAGTAAAAAAATCTATTTCCATTTTTTTTAAAAGAATGTAAAATATAAATGCTACCAGGGAATTTAAGATTAGTGGATATTCAACAATCAACACAGTTGTGAAATAGTTTGAATAACAAGCGTCAGATGACGAGAACCTCCTGAATTTCTTTTGCACGTGTCACTAGGGACAAAAAGCAGAGCATATACGGATATAGTATTACAAAACGTTGTTTTTGATCTTTTATTCTTCTTTTTTTTGAGACATAATTAATGTAACATAAAATTCACTATTTTAAAATGTACAATTCAGTAGGTTTCAGTACATTCACAATGTGGTGCAAGCATCACCCTTTAATTCCAGAACATTTCTAAAGAAATCTGTACTCTTTAGCAGTCACTCCCAACACCCCTTCTATGCCTCCTCCGTGGTCCCCTGGCAACCAGTAATCTTTCTGTCTCTATGGATTTGCCTATTCTGGACATTTCATATAAATGGAATCATATAAGTCCTCTTGGGTCTGGCTTCTTTCACTTGGCATAATGTTTTCAAGGCTAATTCACACTATAGCATGTATCAGTACTTTATTCCTTTTATGGCAGAGTAATATTCCACTGTATGGATATACAGTGAAACCTGTGAGAGCTGGAACTCGAGGACACTCAGAGGCATGGGAGGTGGCGGTGATTTGCTGGCCAGCCTCATCTGGCACCCTCTTGGACTTTCACCCCCCTATCCCCCTCTATGCCTCTGATGGGGCTGCCTTGTTTTTCTGGGTCTTGCAAGTTTTCTGCCTTTGACAGAGTGTAGTCTTACCACTTTTCCATCACTCTCTATTAGTGCAAATTATTTGAGTTTTCCTTCTCTGACAGGTTTCCACCTTACAAAGGTGCAGTCTTTCGCAGGTTTTACGTACTACATTTTCTTTATTCATTCATCAGTTGATGGATGTTTGAATAGTTTGCACTTTTTGGTTATTATGAATCATGCTGCTATGAAC